TAACCCTCATTTCACAAGGAGTAAGGAAAGTTGAAGGAAGAGTGTTCTTCCTTCGACTTCCTGCTGTGTAGATAGCACCAAAAGCCAAATTAAGCTATTTCACCTTCAGCTACGCACTTGGGCTGTGTCTACACTGGCCCCTTCTTCAGAAGAGGCATGCTAATTTAGAACTTTGGAATAGGGAAATGCGCGGGGGATTTAAATATCCCCCGCGGGATTTAAATAAACATGGCCGCCGCTTTTTTTCCGGCTTGGGGAAAAGCCGGAAAAGAGCGTCCAGACTGGCGTGATCCTCCAGAATAAAGCCCTATTCCGGACGATCTCTTATTCCTTTCCAAGCCGGAAGAAAAGCGGTGGCCATGTTTATTTAAATCCCGCAGGGGATATTTAAATCCCCCGCGCATTTCCCTATTCCAAAGTTCTAAATTAGCATGCCTCTTCCGAAGAAGGGGCCAGTGTAGACGTAGCCTTGATGTAGCTGAAGTTGCATAGCTTAATTCAACTTTTGCTCTGCTGTGTAGATGTGCCCAAAGGGGAAATGGTGAGGTGCCTATGACTTACTCTCTCTGTAATGAAAGACTTTACCTCAGTTATCTGAATTGCCTTAGATGAAGGGTTTCAGAAGAACTTCAGGAGGGTGTTTAAAATTGTAAAAAATGTAACTTGCTTAATCTCTCTATATATGTTAGAGGTTTTTATCTGTGTTGTTCTGCAAGCCTATTTGTTCAAGAACTTTCTAAATGGTAAAAGCTAGAACCACTAAATTTGGTATGCAAATTCCTTGTGTCATAACTTAAAGCAAGGTCAGGGTTTAGTTGTGCCAGGACAACTGGAAACTGCATACCAAATTTGGAAAGGGACTGTTTTCCATAACATGCAAAGGGAGGGGCTGCTATTTGGAGGGATGCAATACTGAGTGTCCACTGGGGCAGCCACACCACCAAGGAAGTGGCCAGCAGGGCTGGGGCTCCACATTCTTGCCTGCCAGCATGCTGGGTAAGTAGCCCCCGCAGCCCCAAACCTTTTCTCACCCTTCTGGCTCTTGGTCACAGCACTGGAGGGTTGGAAGAGGGGGAGGCCCCTGGTGGCTAGGGGGAACTAGGTGGGAGAGAAAATGCCCCTGGAAGCTGGAGGAGAGTCGGTGGGGGGAGGAGAATACCCCTGGTGGCCAGCACAGCTGGGGTGGGGGGGAGAAGAGAAAATGCCCCTGGCAGCCAAGACAGGGATGGGGGGAGAGAAAAGGCTGGTGACCAATGGGATACCCTACCCTGACCCCTTCTCACCCCCCAACTCATCCATACACCCATCTGCCACAGTCGCCTGACTGTCCCCCGCACATCTCCAAGGCCCTGCTCTGACTCCGGCATGCACACACGCACACACGTATGCATGCACAGAGACACTGCTCTGCCCACACCATCAGTTCCCTGCCCTGAAGGATCTGGGCCATGCCAGGTAAGTTTGCTAGTGGATATAAAAAGATTGGAGGTAGAGTCAGGACCCTTTGGAATGCTTAGATTAGTAATTAGATTTTAAAATAATGTGTTAATTAAATAAGAAAACTCAGCCAGCATGGGACCATCATAGTTGCTACCTGAAGGGGCTTCCATCTCTGCCACCAAAGGGCAGTGCTTTACCTCAAATGCAGCAAGCAGCAGCAAGAAGCTGACTTTGATTATGGCAACAAATCTGACAGAGCAGAAGGACCTGTAAAGGTGCTTCAGAGGGATTTTTAAGAAGCTGTGTAAGTCTAATCTTCTTTTACTTACCATCCAAGAATATCTTTGTTTTGTGTATAAAGCTGGGTGTCTGTGGTCAGAATGAGATCTTCTTCTACCCTTTTAGTAGAGGAGTACTCTAGCCAGCACTTTCTAGAGATTTAGTGTTAAGTATTCATTGTTAGGTATTGAATGTTTAGTTGCTATATTGTTATACTGTTACGTATTATAAAGTCGTAAGTGAATGATTATGTTATCAACTGAAATTGTTATTGTATTACTCTGTTTTTTATTTGCCACACCACTTCATTCCCTTATTATATCTATCTCTTTTCTTTTATTGTAACCACTCACTTGCAAATAAATATTTTTACAGTTTTCAAAGATTTACTGCTTATTTGTCTATTCTTGATCGGAGGGATATATCTATGTCTTTTCAAGGGTCAGCAAGGCTAACTTGCTTCCCTGGCAATTCCTTTAGGACAGGCCACAATGTTTTTAGGCAACATTGATATAGTGTAATTGAATCAAGAATCTTCTGGTAACATTTAGCCTTCCTTTAACCCCATTTTGCCCAAAGTTATGTTGTCATTTGTTTTGCCAACACCAAAGGAAAATATGAGTGTATTCTGCACATAATATTTGCACGGTGAAAACAACACCAACAGAAAAATAGTAAGTTGTCTGTGGCCTGGTCTTCATTATAAAGTTAGATCAACATAAGCTGCTTTGCAAAGAGCTGCCTTGCATAGAGTTTGCACCTAGTGTGTATATGCATCTACACTTATATTTGTCTCCTATTGATGTAAGCTACCCATTATGCCAACATATTAACATTGCCTCCCTGACTAGCCTTGAACCATGGTTAGAGAGCTCTGTTTGTCATGGATGTTATGGAAACCAGGGAATCTGTAAGTTCCTCCAATTTCCATGGTTTTTGCAGCAGTGTGGCGGATCTCAGGGGGCACCCAAGCAGTTGGCATGTGGACCGCACATTGGCTGCTGTTAGAGCCATTCACGTGGTTACATGGCCAGTTGCATGGGCTGCTGCTCTTTCTAAAATGATGTAAAAAAATTATATATTCTCTCTTGTTTTCCTGTCAGAGTATAGAAAAAATAACACTAACTTTTACAGAAATATCCAGGAAAAATAATACAGGTTTTCAGCATTTATATTATTTGTTACTATACAGATACATCTCAATATTTATATATTTTTTACTCCTTTCAGTAAAAACTTTCTGCTAACAATTCTAGTACCAATACAGGCAGTCCCCAGGTTACGTACAAGATAGGGACTGTAGGTTTGTTTTTTAGTTGAATTTGTATGTAAGTCGGAACTGGCTTCCAGATTCAGCCGCTGCTGAAACTGACCAGCGGCTGACTACAGGAAGCCCGAGGGAGAGTTGCTCTGCCCTGGGCTTCCTGGAATCAGCCGCTGATCAGGTTCAGCCGCAACTGGCTTGGGGGGG